CAACCTTAAATTAATCCTTTGTTTCGTTGTTTTTTCTTTCTTTTTAAATATAAATCATTAACAATTCGGTAGCAACATAAAAGCGTTTTATTAACCAACCAGACAACAGTCTTTCCCCTTTTTTAATACTACCGGAAACACCAATAATATACACGACAGATCCTCGTAAAATATATGTGTAGACGTTTATACATCACACATATATATAATATATATACCTCGGTAAAAAACGTGCTTGGCAACGAATAATCACAGGCTTTTCGAGGTCGTACGCGCGAAAGCGTAACGGAACGTGACCTTTTGAACTTTTAAAGATGTTTAGAATTTTTTTTATATATTGCAATTTATATTTAAGAATAAAAAAAAGTTAATTGGAGCAATTATGAAAAAAAAAGAATTTTTTTCAGGTACAAAGTTCATAACATTTTTTTTTAACAGTTAAGAATTTTTTTTTTAATTTGGAAAAATAGAAGAATTTAGAAAAGTTAATTTTTTGATAAGAAAAAATTTTTTTTAATCGAAAAATTGATTAGGCTGATTGTATCAGACAGCTTTCTTTTTTTTAAAGTTTGTTCTTCATTTTCTTTTCACAAAATAAAACAGTTTTTTGGATTTTGCATGCTGCAAGCGCAAGCACAAAGATATATTCTAAAAATCAAGATCTTAACGTTTTTTTACATTAAAACGTACCTGACAGTTGTATTGTACATTTAAGTCATACAAAAAGCATACTGTTAGAAAGAACAATCATTGCTGAGCTTGAAAAAAATTTTTTTTAATCGATTAATTGCTATTTTTACACAAAAAAGTGGTTTTAATGGTTAGGTGTGAATTTTTAAAGTATTTATGCGCTAATGCATGCACATTTCAATGTCCCAAACTTTTTTTTACAATTATTTAATTTGAATTAATTCTAAAATTCAAAGAAGCTAGTATTTAATAATTCTTATTCATAGGATTGACATTTAATAATAATAATAATAATAATAATAATAATATTGATGAAATGAATTAAAAAATTTTTAATTAATAATTAATAAATTTTGAAACTCCGAAAAAAAAAACATTGATAAAAATAACATACAAAGAAAGAAAATTGAAAGTTTCAAAAAATCCTTAATAAAAAAAAATTTCGAACCGAAAAGTAACTTATTGAGAGTATTGCAAAAGTGTATTTTCAATACCACGAAAAGAGAGGAATATTGTGCGGGGGCACTGTCGACAAGTAGATTCGAAAGTCGATCCGAACACTCGACAACACCTTCTACAAGCTCTTGATCTCGCCTTTCTTACAACATTTTTACAAGCTATTTTTATCCTTACACTTACCTTCTTATATTTATTTTTATTTTCGTTTCTTCATTTTCATTATAATAACAGCAACAGCAACAGCAACAACTATAAAAGTAATACATTGCACCAATAACAAACGATCGAAAACATATTACCTACAGTAACAGTGATAAACTAATGCCTTGTGGTTTTATCGATGCTTTTTTTTTTAACTTGCAGTAATATTATTACTACCCGGCCCTTTTGTGGTTTGCTTTCCAATGTTTCTTCACTTACACACGCTTATAACGTGTTTTTGCATGATAATTATTTTTTTAATATTTTTTTTCCTCGTACTCACCCGCTCGCAATTCGTTCGCAGTTTCTGAAATAACTTTATCATTTTTATTCACATTAAATTTATTAATTATTTTCTATGTCTTCTTTTCTTCTTTCTATTGTCGGGTATAAATCTATTGTCATTTATTACAAGGACGAACAGCAAACATACATTTAATATATATATATATATATATATATATATATATATATATATCAGGGTTACTTTCACATTCACGTGTAGAATTATATTACAGTTTTGAATATAATAGAAAATAATACAACAAGAGTACAAGTCTAAAATAGTACGGACTAGAAAATTCAATTGAATATAATGGAGCAAGAAAAATCGTCATGTCTGATTCTAATTACGTTTCATTTTATTTTTTTTTTTTTTATTTTAACATGCTCCTTGATATCAAACAAAGAAACACGATTTTAATCTCGTTTCATGTGTTATTGTATAAAAATATTATACCAGCATGTAAATGTAAATTTAAATGAAAAGTGTTTTTTTTTTTTATAAATTACAGAGAATCTAATACAATGATTTTTCACCCGATGATACTTTTATTTCCCAGCTCAGATTTTTCAATCATGACTTGATACATTTTTGAACTCATCATCTTCATTATTGTTTATTGTCGTAGTTATAGGTGTATATACATAGATACATTTATATAGATGTATATGAATGATTATACTTTGTTCAATGACCGAGGAGTCTATTTTCATTCTTATTCTTATATCATACAAGTAGAATGAAATTTTTTTATCGTTTTGTCACGGTCTAGTGCTACGACGTAATGGACATGGGAAATATTTTATTCTTTTTAAAAATAAAAGAGAAGCAACAATTTTTATTTTTTTTTCTGTTTTTTTTAATTGAAATTTTTCAAAATTTATTAATAATAATGATAATTATAAAAAAAAATAAAATAATAATAAAGTTGACTTAAACTTTATTATTATTATTATTTATTTATTTATTTATTTTATTATTTTTCCCTTACTGAAGAATAATTTTTAAAAATTTTTTCCGTGTACCGTTCAGTAAAAAATTTCTATTTTAATGCTAATATGAAATAAAAATAAAAAAAAACATATGTAACGACAATAAAATCCATTATTTATAGGACCTCTTAAGTCCACCTTCGCAAGATCCATGATAAAATAAACAAAGTAATTCGTATTCCGAGGCAAAGTTAAAAGTTAACGATGATCCTCAACGCGCCTAACCCGGAATCTTCGGATCTCCCTATTAGTACATATACATCGGACATTTGATAATAAGCAGTGAGGTCACGTATCAAGCATAGCATACTAATACCATCGCCAAGTCCCATAATCGTTCCTCAAACCAAATAAAAGCAGTGAGGACGACTTTAATTTTGCTGAATTCAATCCATTTTATTTTATTTTAAAAATTTCTTAAGTAATTATCTGACATTGTTTTTTTGAATATAAACTTGTTGTTAAAGTTAGTGAATAAAGGGCTCACGTGATTGAAATTGCACGGTCAAGGTACTTATGCAAAATAAAGAGTTACGGTACACTTTATGGTAGTGCGATATGACCACGGGTGTATTACTGTAAAATATTTAATGTTAAATGTTAAAAGTTGGATCGAGCAAGCATGCCTTTACCTGCTCTGATGATATAGTAGTATAATAGAAGCATAACCACGCTCGTGAAAATTTTCTACCCTAAGGTTACATCTGGCTCCTTCTCTCCACACGCATTATGCATATTTATTACAACTACCTGTTTAATTTATACACGTTAAGGAATTTCAAGGTTTACTCGCAAAACCGTGTCGTTCCCACGACTTTGTCATCAAGTCATCATCATTGAGTACTTGTCATTATTTTTTATTGTTGTGTATTATTTTACCTCTTTATTATCTTCAATCTTTTATCATTCTACACCAAAAAAATCTTGTTTTATTATCCTATTAAATTTTTATTAATAATGTCAACAAAAAGTTCTTGAACAAATAAATCAATTCTAAATTTTTTTATTTGTCTAATTTTTTCATTTTTATCACATTATGCGATGTATATATTACTAGCTAGTACCATCTGCAATTTTTGTGTATTGGTGTAAGATGTATGTGTCTTCACCAACTTTAATTATTAATTATTTGCATTTGTTTATTTCCACACAATAAAATCACAATTTTTTTTTTTTATCATTCTAATGCGCTTAATATTTAATTATATTGACTTATCTATAAACTTGATAAATAAAGCTTTTTGGGTCCCGTGTTTGAGCACACACTCTCTGCTCGTTCTGCCAATACATCCATAGCCCAAAACCCGCCTCCACTATGTTACATCTTATCATTTAAAATTAACACGCGCGAAATTTAAATTTCTAGTTTCATATTATAACGCTGAAATTGAATTAAAAAATTTTCTTTTAATTCTTTTAAATTCTTTTTTCTTCATATTTATTAACGAAAAAAATGGAATGCAATATTGTATTTTATTTTTGAATACTGTTAAAAAATAAAAAAATAAATTCTAGCCATATTATAAAAAATACCTTTGAAAGATTAAATATATAATTTTTTCTCTTGAATATAATTAATTATTTTTTTTTTATTTAATTACAATAAAATAAATTAGAATAACAATAATTTCTCTAATAATTGCGTGATAAACAATAATAAGTAAAAGCGAATGGCATATTTCATGGACGGGTAACCGATTCCTGATGCGATAGTTAATAGAGTTCCGTATTTTTATTCGCGGAACAAAAAATAATCTTAAATAATAATAATAATAATAATAATATATAAATGAAAATAAACTTCCGACATTTGTTATAGTTGATTCAAAGACTGGTATCACATGTACCACACAATCATATAATCGGGATCGAATGTCCAGTCTGTATTTGTATTTGTGTTTGTGTTAGATTAAATCTAAGTCAGCGAGTTTCGTTACATGAAAAAATATCCTCGACATATTTTATATAGTGCAGATTCTATATAGTGCACACACACACACACACACTCACATAAACTCACATGCTTCTACTTTCGCGATTAAGACCGTAACTAGTAAAGTATTTATAAGTATGAGGGTTACGTATTAAATCGCGATGCCTGGGCTCTAACAAACTGGAAAGTTCATTTCCTTTCGTAGCAGCAATGCGTACAGAATTTACTTTTTTGTTTTTATTAATTTTATTTACTTATGTACTTGCTATTATTTTATTTTATTTTTTTTTTATTATTCAATATCCCTCAGGGGACTGTAATATAATTCAATTTTAAATATTTTCAATCCACCGTTTATCAGATTTCCATTAAGATTAAGATTTTCTATTCCGCGTTGACTATTTTTCATTTTTATTTTCATGTCATTTATCTATACTAATAAATGATGGTTTTTTTTTTTTTTTTTTTTATAATGCCTAATTAAAAAAACTACTAAACCAATAGACGTAAAACTTGTACCAAAAATGCATTTTGGACGAAAGTTTTAAAGTATATAATAATACATCATCAATTGCTTTTTTTTTTTATTTGGATTACAAAATAATAACTTGTAAATTATAAATTCCGTATTTTCAATTGCCATTTATAGAAAATCAAAATAAACATTCAATTATTTATTTGAATCAAGATATATTCATTCAATTATACTCTAGTTAATATCAAATCAAATTTAAATGATAATTATTGTAAAAGTTTATTTTAAATATCAGACTAAAATTAACCAATCAAACTAACTTGTAAATATAAAATTTTGAGCGCTCACAAAAGTTCTGGAGAACATAATTACGGATTATTGCTGATGAAAATTAACTTATTATAGTTAAAAAAAGACTTAAAACAATCCAATTATTGAGAATTTTTAAATTTCACTATAAGTTAGTCCTTAGTTTCGCCGCTAGGTGGCTATACCTTCTCGCTTGCAAAATTATTTTACCAGAGTATAGATAAGCTTCAAATTTTCTTTTTCACTATTAAGGTCAAAACAATCATGTTAGCACCTTTGATTTTCAATTTTTAGGAATAAAAAAATATTTTTTTTATAGTAAAAAATCGTTTTATCAAAAATCATACAAATTTTATTATTATTAATTAATTATTTTTCATTATTACTTGTTACAGCCACAAAATTTAGTCTTGACTGGAGAATTTCCTGATTGTGATGTAAAACTCTGTGACTTTGGAATTTCAAGATACATCAGTCAAGGTGCTGACATCCGTGAAATTTTGGGCACGCCCGATTATGTCGGTGAGTTGAACAACAGAATAGTTTAAATAAATTCTTCAATTTTTTTTTTTGTATTTTTTATGAATTTATAAATAAATAGTAGATGGTATAGTATTTAAAAGGTGATTTATATACTAGCACTAGTATTATGTATTCGTGTGAATAAGACTTTTTGGTTTATTTAAACGTTTAATGACCATACGCATGACACGATACTTGTGGAGCACATAATACAATTGTCCGGGGTTACAGACGCATTGTACGGTCAATTTAATCGCTATCACTTTTCACAGCTTCAATAAGACTGAGACCTTATGACACATCTTGTGTGTTCATTCATTTACCGAATATTGTTATTATTTACAAGTCATGTTAAATGACAGCAAAAATATAATATTATTAAATATTTTGTCGTTGTTTTTTACAATTTATTATTTATTTATAGTATGTTGTAATGTTTTGTGGAGAATGTTTAATTAATTATGCAAGTATTTATTCACTAGTTTAGTTTTGTAAGATAATTAATTATTTATCAAGGTTTTAAGTGCTCATTTTTAAAGTTTTGAAATTTTTTACTCCGGAGTCAAATATTAAATTTTATAGAAATGTTTAATTTTTGTTAAATGAATTTTTTACCTAAAGCCAAAAACACATTTTTCTAAATATATATCATTTTTGGAGTAAAATTTGACTCCGGAGTACCATCTGACTCCGGAGTTTGACGCCAAATTTAATTCCGAAGTTAATATTGACTCCGGAGTAAAATTTTTACTTAAACTCGAAAACATATTTTCCTTCATTTACGCCAGGTGTGGAGTTAAATTTGACTCCGGAGTAAAATTGAATGACGTACTCAAAATTTTTCCAAAACTCAAAAATTTTAATTAACTCTAGATAACCGCAAAATCAAAAATATTGACCACTATTTATATTTCCAGCTCCAGAAGTTCTAAATTACGAGCCAATAAGCCTTGCAACAGATATGTGGTCCGTGGGAGTCCTTCTGTACGTTCTGCTGACAGGATGCTCGCCATTTGGCGGAGACACGAAGCAGGAAACGTTCTGTAACATCAGTCGCTGCCGTCTAGACTTCCCGGATGATCTTTTTGAGGATGTATCCGAAGAAGCACGTGATCTCATGCGCAAACTTATGGTCAAAGATCCAAGGTAACAAATTCTTCTTCTTCTTCTTCTTCTTCCTAATTCCTCATCATCATTTCTTCACCTATTCCAGCGCAAACACAATAACAAACATTAATTCTTCAGCTCACCACATCCTCGAAAGTAATAGTCTTAGAATTCATTATTTCTTCTTTTAAAAATAGAAAAATAAGTTGATATCTAAATAAAACGGAAAACCGCAATATAAAAAAAAAAAAATTAATTAACAAGTAAATAATTAAGTGTTATTTAACCGGTTATTAAAATTCCAAGGAGTAGCTTTTTATTAAAATAAACTATTCATTAATTTATTTTATTTATTTATTATTTTTTAACACGTGTAATTCTCGCGGGTATTAAATATACCGTTTGACAAGTATATATGTATATATATTAAGTTTTAACGCGACATAATAAATAGTAGAGTAAGAAATAAAAATATTTTAACGACAAGTTGTCACACTTGCTTAGATATTTTATCTGAGACTTCAATAACGGCATAAATTGCATAATAATTATTGAATAAAATATTAGTTGAAGAAATAGAATATTGAGTATGGTAGATTATATTATAAATTATAACTATAATATGCATAATATTAATTTAACGGAAGTTAAAAGTCGGTGTAATTTGTTTCGGTGGATCACTAGTGATAGCTTACATTTATGTTTAATATAAGAACTAGGAGATAAGAGAAAATGGGAAATGATATTGAACTGGTGTGCAATGTTAAATGTTATATTATGTCGGTCTGTGATAATGATAAGAGTTTCCTTTCAGCTGTCATTGTACTACGCACTTGGTACTGATAAGCGATACTGTTAAGCGATGTATATTATGTTAAATGCGTATCTGTGTGTCTGTGCACTGTGTAGAGAAGTTCCTTCCGTTTAATATTCATGTTTATATTTTATTAGATTGAGCGTATGGTTAATGTAAGCAGATCTGAGGTCTGTTTTGTTGGTGGATGATAAATATGTGAATGAATGAATGGATGTGTGTTTGTTGATTAATTTGTATTATGTGGAAATTTATTTTATTTTTTTTATGGAAATTTTATTGTTGAGGTTGTTGATTTTTGGGGTAATAATTTTTTATTTTTTTTATTCAGTAAAGAAAATAATGATTAATATATGAAGAAATTATTCGATTTTTTTTTTAGTTTTTAAAATTAAAATGATATAAAAAAAATTTTTGATTAAAAAATTTTTTTTTTAGAAAAAAAGCGTGATCGGTTGAAAAAAAATTTCTATGCTAAATTTTAAGCAAAAATGATTCAAATGTAAAATTTGAGTAAATTAATTTTTTATTGAAACTTATGAAAAAAGTAATCGACGTAGGAATGATTAGAAATTGTTGGAAATTTTGTAATTAAAATGGTGTAATTAGAGTAAATGTCATTGTTACTTATAAAAATTTAATTTCGAATTTTTTATCGAAGAAAATTTAATTAATTAAATTAAATTCTTGATAAATTTTGAAGAAATTCTAAAAAATTAGTATGAAATAATTTTAACAAAAAATTTTAAAAGAATTAATATAAAATCATTTTTGAAGAAAATTTTCATATCGAATTTTTTATTAGAACTCTAGAAAAAAAAATAATTGATTTAGGAGAAGGTATTAAATAATTAATATAAAAAAATTTTTAAAGAATTAATGGAACTACAATAAAATTCCAATATAAAATTTGTTATTGCAGTTCCGAAAGAAGAAATAATTAACTTAAAATAAATTCCTTACAAATTAAAATTTAATACTAACGAATGATTTTATTAATTAATCAAATTCTTTTTATACGGTAATTAATTTTATCCTACTAATCCTTTCTTTCCTTTAAAACTCTTCATTTTTTCCAAATGCATATTATTATAAAAATCCATAATTTGCCCAATACTTTTATACCAATTACAATTCAAAGAATAGTTATAAAATTACAAAAAAAAACTAAACCGAAAATTTCTTCTTTCAGCCAACGACTGACAGTAACAGAATGCCTGCAGCACCCCTGGTTCAACCGAACATCGCCAGAGTCTCCACTATCAGCACCATCCTCCTCATCATCATCTTCATCATCATCCTCCCTATCATCTCACCAGGAAGAGCCTGAATCTCTTCCTCCAGCGGAGCTTCCAGAGCGAACATCAATCCCGGAGCCGAGCGTAGACGAGCCGGAGTCGAAGCCCAAGTCCTCTTCATCAAAAATCTCGCTGACCGAAAAGATCACCAAGCACGAAAAAATTTACCCTGAAATGACGGCAATCAGAATCGGACTGAGCCCAGACCGCCGCGACACCTTTAAAAAAAACATGGACTCACTGGCCCAAAAATTTTCCGGAGAAATTGTGATAATAGAATCAAACTCCTCGTCGCAGAGACGCGCGATTGGAAACCACACGATGCCTGCTGGAGACGTCTTCAAGTGCACTCCAGTCTTCATCCTCGGCGAGGAGCAACAATGTGACAGCGGAAGCGACACAGTCTCCGAAATTTCTACCGACAGCTCCAGCGACCGGTCCAGCATCTACTCCGACGACTCTCTGGATTTTATTCTGTATGGAAAGAGCCAGCTGCAAGGTCGCGCGAGTTTTCCTTTTACTGGAAGCGAGTCTGACCGCTGGGACCGGCATCACACCAGAGTTTGGCCCAGAGAGTGCAACGGAGTCGTCAGCAAAGCTCTCAGTCGCTTTACAACTGATCCAACTTCTACGGGGTCGAAAACCTCCAGGGTAGTTCCGCCCTCCAGTCGCGCTAAAACTGGCCTGGAAGCTCTCAGAGAACGTGGTGGCAATCTTGTTGTCATCCGGGAACCTGTTCGCGCTGGAAGGTACACCAGGTACAGCGAAGTCCAGTGCGAATCTGTCCAGGCACGCATCAGGCGCTTCCAAGTTCAAGGCGGATCTTAAGTTTAGTTTACAAGTTATGTTTTGTAAATAATTGAGGGGTCATTTATTGGATGTAGTTATTTTGTAAATAATTTATGGATGTGGAAAATTTCTGCTGGTCGAGAAATATTTTGGAAACGTGTAAATATTTATATTAAATTTGGGTGATTCAGGAGATTCAGGAGGCGTGAATGTAGAGAGAAAGACTATTATTATTCTTATTATCGAAATTAATATTTATCAGCCAACGAAGGATTTTATTTTGAATTTTATTTGCGAGGTGGTTTATTGTGTTGTAGATGATACAAGGGCGTTTATTGGTAAAAGATGAAGATGATAAGGGAAAAAAAATTTTATTAAAAATTTGGAGTTTTCATGGTTTGAAAAAGGAAATTTTTTATACTTCTAAATCATAGATACGTACATTTTGAAAGAAATTGATGTAGTTATAATATTGAAAATTAATTTTTTAAAACGCCTTTTTGGGAAATTTTTTCTTAGAAATTTATGTAGATAGTTAATTCAAAAATGTAAATTTAACAACAATAATTTTTTTACAATTCTTAATGGATAAACTTATTTAAAATTAAAAAAAAAAATTTTTATACTTTTAAATTATAATTACATCAATTCCAATAAAATTTTGTTGAAATGCCCTTATTTTTAAAAATTTATGAAATTTTTTCATCTACTTTATATTTTTGAATTACAATCACATGAATTTCAAAAAGAAAAAATATTTTTTGTACGCCTTTATGACATCTATAACACGATAATATAAATTTAAAGTTTGACAATCACAAAACTTGATTATTCAAATATAAAAAATCGATTATTGGCTTTTGAATATATATTTATATAATATCTATTTACAAATATTATTCATATTATTATTATTATTATTATTATTATTAATTATTATTGTCATTATTATAATTATTATAAATATTATTTCTGAATGTAATAGGGTAATTAATTAATGAACGAGAGAGTGATAATGGACAATGTCCTCTGCCTATATTTATAGACTGACTGACCGTCCCTCAAATCATTTATTAAATATTTAATTATACTAGTATTCATAAAAATTGCATTATTTTATTTTTATCAACTAATTATTAATTTTTTTTTTCAATTGAAATGACGTCAAGTAATGATAAAAATTAATAGTTTTGTTTTTTTTATTATTTTATGCTCACAAAAATCTAAAGTCCTTTTTTATCTTAAAAATAATTTTTCTAAGAAGTAATTAAATATTTTTAATTACTACATAAATTAAATACTTGATAGTTTTTGGTCATAAAATTCACTACTTATATTAAATAAATAAATAAAATAATTAATAAAAAAAATTATAAAATATTTTTTTTTAATTTTCAATAATTCCCCACAAAATGAAAACTAGTATAATTAAAAAAATCCTATGAGTACCGTCAAGTGTTCGTCTAAAAAACGCCATATGACTACAAATTTATAGTTGATTAATAATAAATAATTAATTAACAAGTAAATTTGTTCCTAGGTGCCTTGTAAATTCACTGTAAAATATCGCACAATTTTAAACAGTAGTCTTATGAATTTATAATAGTGCCTACACTTAAATATAAAAATAATAATAAATAATAAATGATCTTCTGTGTTGATCAATAAATAAATAATTATTTCCTGCGAATGCAACTTAAATTACTCGATGGTGGTGGAAATATTTCTAGAGTTTACAATGTATTTTTTAATTATTTTTCACTTATTGACGCGGCAGAGTCGAATGTAAGAAGAGTTATTATTATTAATTTAATTATTTTAATTATATATTAATTATTATAAAATATTTAATTTAATTATTGAAGTAAAGTTATGGTAAAAAATAAAGTAGAGAACGGAATTAATTTTTTGAATTGTAAATGCTAGTCATAATTATCATCTTTCGGCTCTTCGACATATTTGATCTCATCCGCTGCTCAAAAATAAAAATATTCAATATCAATAAAATAAAACAATGTAAATTGAAATTTTTTCTCAATGTAATACTCAGTAATTTCTTTTTAAATTACATGCAGGATTTTTCGTGTTTAATTTTATATATTGTGACGCACATTGGTAATTAATTATTAATATTTTTTTAGGGTAATTTTATATGAAAAGAAAAAAAAAATTTTACTGTTGAAAAAAATTGGATAGTGAATTTTTTACGAAAATTTAAAAAATAATTTATTAAAATTTATTTAATAAGTATGAACAAAATTAATTGTGAATTTTTGTTTTTACAAAAACTTACAACTTTTTTTAAAAATATTTGACGGTTTTTTTTTTAAAAAATTCAAAAGGAAAAAAAAATTAATATTTATTTATTACACGGTTTATTAAATTATTTAACGATATGGATTAATTAGCAATTGTAACGGAAATATAGAATTAAAAGAATAAAAAATTTCATTGTATTTACAGTAAAGTGTACATAAAATATGTGAATAATTAATTTACAAATATCAAGTACAGATAATATCAAAAGAAAATTAAGAATTTACTTGTTAAGTCTGTAAATATTATTGTATTAATTTTACTACCGAGATACAACAAATAAATCCATAGAAATAAATAAATGTTTATTTATTCATTCATTTCTTTTTAATTAAATTACTTTACATTATTTTTTTAATATAAAATACATATAAAAAAAAAAAACTTGTTAGGACAAATCGAATTCACCCAATTTTACCCTTTATACTCATGCACTCGTTAATTCTATAAATAAAACATACCAATGACACTACACTGCACACTAGATCGCAGGTGATACGATGAATCACACGAGCAATAATACCTTTTGTGTTTTTATTTCGTTTCGAAACGGAATATAAATAAAATCAGGTATCTGATAGAATAAAAGATTCTGCAAATTACCAATTATTCTACCAGCCTATTTCAAACAATAATACTCGATTTTTACATTATACGTTTATTTCTTCTTCTTCTTTGTCTTTTTATATTTAAATTTATTTTCGTTATTTCTTCTTAATGAATACAATCTATTGTACTTTTAAATTCATTTCTTTTTAAATTTAAAAATTAAAAATTTTTCCATTTACATTGATAAAATTGTAATTTATTTTTTATTAAAAAGTTATAAAAACAAAAACAGATTGATTTATCAATATTTAAAGGAATTTAACATACAATTTTTATGGAAAAAATATGAAGTACTTGAAAAGTGTCTTAGCGTGAGGTAAAAGTTTTTGTCAATTGAATGCGAGAGAATAGGGTTCGATTCTCAGTGATGTTCAAAAGTATCTTCTATTTTTTAAAAACAAAGTATTATTATTATTAATTAATTAATATTAACCTCACACGATAAATTGTTTTTTTTTTTTTTTCATTGTTAAAAAATTTTTAATTTTCACTGTTGATAATTATTGATATTATAATAAATTTTTTATTAATAATTGATAGAATCAATAGAATATTTATTGAATGAAACATGAATAAACTTTAAAAAAAAGTAACCTACTCGAAAAATGTTTTAGTGGCAAATAAAAGTCTCTGATTACAAATGTGAGAATACGGGGTTCGATTCCCGACAAAATTTAAGTAATTGTTAAAAATTTTTTTTTTTTTTAATGATAAAACTATAATAAATTTTTGATTATTGATACAGTAAAATATTGATTAAGGACGTTTCGAGAAAAAACCGTTTTCTTAAAATTTTCTTGAAATGTTGAGTACTTATACTCATAAGTATCCTCTATACGCAGGGATTTCTTTAAATAGTCCTTGCTGCACTAAATTTTTAAATATTAGCATTTAAAATTTGTATATTTTACAACATACAAACCCTCTGCTGACCGACGTTCAAGCGAACATTTTATTAAATATCAATTGTACTCTTCTTAGGATTGTTTTAAAAAAACTGAGAATCATTAATTGAAGATATAACAAGTATTTTTTTATCAAAAATAACATAAACGAGCGGTATTAATTTTTTTATAAAAAATGTTTGAAGTTAGTGACTTTCGATATTTTACGTGAGTGGAAGTGAGTGAGTGATAGTCCGTACCGAGAGGCAGCACTAGTGCATGAGAAAGAAACCAATAGTCATAATCTATTGGTTTCTTTTTCTTGTTTAGGAACGTCCTTAATTAGAACTTAAATTAACATAAAATCAAATTTTAATCGAAGAAGACGATATATTTGAAAATTGTCTTAGCCTGAGGTAAAAATCTTTGAATTCCTCCATTAAAATACGGGGTTCGATTCCCAACTAAATTAAAATTAAAACTTTTTTTTTTTTTTTTTTTAACAGAATGTTATTATTAATTATCAATTATTTTTTATTTTTAATATCAAGTTAAGAATCGGGTATTTTATTATGATTGTTATTGTTACAACGGGAGGCTAGGTGGATAGGTATAGTGTAGAGTTTGATGAAGTAATACTTCCTACGTTTTTTATAACCGTCTATCCTTGACATTAACGCTTCTAACACCTATAAGGTATAATATAATATAATGTGTAATATAAATATAAATATAAAATAGAGGAGCGTTTTATTTTTTATGACTAGTTTTTAAATAGTTAGGTATATTTTATGTCACATCATTGACTTTGACATTGACGGATTTTATTTTTAGTTTATCTTTCTATTAATGCTTGAAATTTTTTTCACACACTACCAAAAAAACAGGAATACTCAAAAAATTGAAGATAATGAAGAAAAAAAAATTTTTAGTTTTAATTTTACCATTTTTTTTTTCATAGAAGGATTCATTCCAATTCCAACGCGAAAAAAGACAGTATTTAAGATTTTTTTGCACAGAAATTATTATAGATATTAATATAAAATTCATTCGGCTCACCAAATACATTCTTGATAAACGGAAAAAATGTCTAAATTTATTTAGTTATTGCACTAGCTACGGAGATTGAAATTTATTGATAAATAACAAAATGACGGACATTTAAAAAAAACTAAAAAATTAGGATTTTTTTCACAGTTTTTAGTTCTAAAAAAATAGTAAAAATCAGAA